TGAAATAAGAACATATACTGAAAAGAGAGGAAAGACAAGGGCAGGCAGTATTGACTTAAGGACGGTTGTAAATGACATGAGGAGGGACGCCTAACTTTGTAGGTGGCTGTGGCCTTGTGTAAACTAGATCAGAGCTTATAAACACATGCCACCATCGGATCTATATTGACCTGAAAAATTTTAAATTATGTGACTTACAGCAGATGACTACTATTTTATATAGTAGGAAATATAAGTATCAGTAACTGAAATGACTGGAAAAATTACATGGATCACGTGTTAATTTTTCCCTGAACTTGCAAAAACATTCTCAAAGTTTTTTAACATACCAGAAGAATATTTCATTCATCTGAAATCCTCCTTTGCCATAAGACAGATATTCAAGCTACTTTCCTGATTTATGTGAAGTCACTAAAAGTGCTACTGGGTATAACCAGGACACTGTGTGAATCCTTTCTCATGGTAACATCTTTCTTCCATCTTTCTATCAAGATGATGATCAGGGGAAATAGTGTTAAAAGCCAGAGATGGTCCTGGACATACAACTCTTTCATGAACTATTTAAAGAGTTTAAACATCACCTAATGAGTTTGAGAGTAGGTTATTTGAAGGAAATAGTTTGCACTGGGTGAAATGCAGAATAATCCTTACAAAGAATGGCTTCCAGAACTGATACACAAAATTGCCAAACTACCTGGCATAGCAATATAGGGATCGTGCTCTAACATTACCTTTCCGAGAACATCAGAGGGTAGTTACCTGCTCAGATATCTATGTGTGCTGACTGCTGCAGCTAAACTTACTATCCTGTAGCATTATTTTCATCACTGTAGATGTCAAAGAGGATTTCTCCTGCCATTGGGTTTGGAGGAATATCTTACTCTGTACTCCCATATAATATTACGAATTGTCTGGCCATAAATTTGCCGAAATCCTGATCATACCTCATTTAAATTGACATGCAACTTGAGTTAAATTTATTTCCTGCCCTTTCAAGGGAGACAGATTTTTTTTTTTGTTTCTGTTTATTTAAACTGCTGTTGAAATTGGTTAATTAAAAGGATTTAAAAAATCTTACTACTCTAAACAGAGCAAACTGGTTCTGAATTATTAAGCAACATTTTAGATGCATTTAAATAACCTTAAGTGACTTAACTGCCACCTGATCCTAAGCTGTGGCTCAGAAAAATAAAATGTGAAATACTGTAGAAGTCTTGGCTTACTGGGGCTTCCAGATACAGTAAATAAAGAGCTTAAGTCTCTAATACCGTGTCTGCAAAAGGCATACTCTCAAATACATAACTAATGCTCCACCTTAAGGAAAAATGAGCAGAAGAAATTATAGGTTGCAATTTTGATTTTTCAGAAGAAATTAACAAATTCAGTCTTTCAAAAATAGTCTTTCAAAAGAGAAAGCATGCGAGGACGTCTCCCTTTCTGAGAGATATCACAAAACATTCACAAATATATCATTAATCCTAGTAGGGTGGCTGAAGCCCAGTTTGGGTAAATCTGTTCTGCACATTCCTCCTATAGTTTCAGCTAGACCTGGTACACTTCAGCTTCTTGCCTGAAGTGTGGTGAAATGCCCATTCCGTGTTAAAAAATTTTAGGAAGACTTCTGCAGATCTCCACCAAAGAAGGAAGCGAGGAACTGATCATCCGGGAAGTCTCGGTATGGGAAGGGTGCTGGGAGAAGGTGGATCTTGCAACTGGGAGATTGAGAGGACCACCGAAATTAGTGTTTGGGAAGGCTTTTAAGAGAAAGGGACTGAGAAGAAATACTGAATGAGAAGGTTGACTGAGCATGCTAATATGCTTAGGGTAAGCTCTTTTTGTTATAGTTAAATGCATTTTGAAGATTAGAGCGATTCTTGGGAAAAAAGGAACTATAATTCTAAAATCAGCACATACATTTAAATAGTGCACACATTTGCTTCCAAAAAGCTTCTGCAGGTGCATTTAAGAATAATGCAAAGAACTTATAATACAGCTTTTCACTCCGAAAGATGTGCTTGCCAAATGTTTTCAACGTTAGAGGCACAAGTTACCTGCTGACCCAGGCTCACCCGTGTGATACACACTTGTCGGTACGGTACGTAGTGCTGCCTTGGTTAAGGTACTGAGGGAGGAGGTGGTTAATATCTAACTTCAGTGCTAGTAGGAAGAACAACACAGTCGGTTACAAAGACCCGATAACAAGTCATTGCATGTGCTTAACTGCTTTGGAATGTCACTGCTGCTTTAAAATCTACAAGTAGTGTCTGGAAAAGGTTAATCTGTGTATTTACTCATGTGTAGAAGTTTGTATTTACAGTAGGGTTATGATACCAACTTTAAGTTAGCTAAGGATATCTATGTAAGCAACTGGAACATAGAACTAAGAACTAATGAATTTTTATTTACCAAAGAAGTAAAAATACTTCACCACCACTGTATCAGGACTGACAGCTTTGAAAAGCAGGTAAAAATGGTCTAACAAGTTTATTACAAGGAAACGCTGATTTGGTTGAAGATAATCCCCTCGTTTCGATAAGACAGAAACACTTTTGGGCGTGTGCATGTTATTCTAATACAGATTAGGATAGAAGAAAAAAATACCAACTTGAGAAGACATGTTTTCATCTTATTGCAGCAAAAACTCCAGCAAAGAAATTCTGATACTTTCAAACATATTTTTTCAAAAATGTTATGTATAGTTTAAATACAAACAGACATTTTGAATGCTATTGTTTTCTGGAGCACAAGCATCCCAAGTGCTCTGTTGTTGTTGCACAGGTTTCAATGGATGCTTGTGATACGTATCATATAGCAGAAGGGTCTTGACAACTTACAGTGTATTTTTAAGACACTATATATCACAAAGCCTAAGGCAACGAATATATACTTTTACTGTACTTCCAAGGCATTCATCAATGACTACTACTTTTTTTTAAAAAAAATCTGTCTATGGAGTTTCATACTTCCAACTTTCCAAACCTGAGGAACATGGCAGATGTCATTTATAGTTCCCAGTGGTTAGCAAACCCCTGGGGATTACTTTTTGTCTGCGGTAGCTGTCATAGTCACAATGGCAACCGGATTCATACACGGCCACTGAGTCAATCGGCATGAATCATTTATGTGACTCCTCATACATGGCATTATTAGGTTGGAATCACAGAAAAAGATGAGAGAGTCTTTGCTTCCCACACAACAGCCCAATGGCTCTGTATCCCGCCATTAAATTCTCCTTTCTTGGCCTCAGCGTTTTCTCCACGACAGTTTCACAATGTACTGAAAATACCAGCCTGTTCTAATTCAGTGGTCTTTTTTCTTTTCTACTCTTTTTTCATTTGTTCTTATGTGAGTCATCTGATCAATTTTGAAGTTTGTTACAGAGGACTAAAATTAATAATGATGATGATGAGATGAAGTACAGAAACAGCCAGTCTAAAGTGCAAAACAAACATAAAAAGTTGGAGTAATATACTTGCAGGTTTTTTAATATTAAAGATGTACTAAGACATAACTATTTTACAGGTAGGGAAGTATGACTTGCAGACTGTTTAAAATACACAAAACCATTGTTTAGACTGTAAAAGATTGTTTTTCTTCTGTCAAGTAAACTGAACGATCAGTCATCCTGGAAACATAGATGACTTCTAGGCTTTGGTTCCACTGGAAATGATATTACATGCTTAAGGAGTAAAGTTAATTAATGATTAATGAGCTTCCTTAAATGCTGCTTTTCCATCTGACAGATTAGGAGTCTCAATATAAGACAAGGTGGAAGAAAAGCTGTAAGCACTACAACCCTGTTCAGAGTTACGCCAAAAATTGGTCAGAAATCACATCCACTCTCAAGGTTGCATGCTTGCTAAGGACATTATTTTCTTCCCCTTTGGAGTACTTGTGACCCTTTGGAGTACTTACAAGTACGATGATAAAGCAAGAGGTATCTGCTACAAAACAGTACTGTAAGCACACTAATCAGAGCCCTGTTCCTAGTGAACTTCCTCCAGGGGCAGTGACGGGAAACTAAATGGAAAAGCAACCCAAGTTACTGAGCTCCTTTGATGAAAAATGGCTTAACCAGTCACCTGGAGATGCCCCCAGCAAACAAAACCCCGGCTGATCCAGAGCTGCCCGGACTCATTTGCAGTACTGAGGCAGTATGGCCAAAAAGCTCCTGAACTTCACCCATCACTGCTTGGCTCTGTTCTGTCATCTCTGCAGTGCCTGTTACCTTCGCCTTTTATGCAGGGCCCCAGGTAATTGCTGCACACTCACTGACTTTTACTTTTGCTGTAACAATGGCGAAATAAGAAATGAAAGTTAATTTGTAATAGAACTGAAAACATATATTTTCAAAGAAACTTAGTAACCAGCACATAAATATCTGTTGATAAATCAACAGAATTTAATTGGCTTTTGTAAGCAGTATTGATCTTGAAAACTGGTCACAGCAGGTACATCATTAGAATTTTGAGGTAGGAAATATAAATGATTATTTACTGCTATTAATTGTAACAGGTGGATGAATAATTTATTAGAATGTACTGATTAGCTCACAACTGTACACTATCTGACACTGACCCTTCCTTGCTCATAACAGAAAACTGCATCAAAATGGCAAAACCAGAAAGATCAGAAGTACCAGCCCATAACAGACCTAAACAGCGTAGTAATATCAATGCGGCTTCCTTCAAAACAGGATGTGAGCGATGCTGGCTCAGCATGTATGGGCAGTTTTCATTGAATATGGTCCACAACTTGGTTGTTTCAGAAACGGAGGATTTTTTACAACATCACTGGCAACAGATTTCGCAACACAATTTTGTGTGTAACATATGAGAGCACTAGTAGGTTAGCACCTGGCTTGCTTACAGCCACAAAGCTTGGCAGCACTCTAACATATTCAGGCATATCTTTTACCTTCTGTGCTATAACGTACTGGTCATCTAACACAGAGGAGTAAAAGGTAGTGGTATTTATTCCTGAAAGGTACATTTACTCACATCTCTCCTTGGAAAGGTGCCCAGCAGCTTGTACTCCTCCCAAGGATATCCCTTGGAAGCTACAAAATCAAAGACAACCTGCAGCTTGCTGCTGGCCAGGAAACGTCGCTCAAAGAATTCTCCGCTGGGTGTCCGAATACGCAGTTTACTGACGGACTCGGTGCTCTCCTCTTTTGGTTCGGGAGGCAAAGATTGCTCAAGAGAGAGCCTGATAGCCTGAGGAAGGAAAAATAACCATTTAGGTTGCAATGCTAGCAACAGAAGAAAAGGACTGAAAGCTTTTATTTTTTATTTTTTCTAGAACTTCAGGATGTGCCACAGCACTCCAGAGCCATAGCTCTGCTTTATATCTCAATGACAAAATCATTTTTATTCATTCCTTAATAACAGCCCACCAGACAACTAATTAAAATAAATCCTTCTTTATAACACATATTATTAGGTCTACAGTTAATGCACGATGGGGATAAGTAATTTAATCATTTGGCAGAAAGCCTTGGAAAAAATTTGAATGAGAGAATAATTGTCAAGTGGCCAATTGCTTCCTTAAAGGGTATAAATTAAAAGGCAGTAAAAGTATTTCTTTAAATGCACTTATCAAATTGCTTTCCTCTTGCACAGCATAATTGACCCTTTGCAACAGAGACAAGACCCTTAGTGGCAGTTCAGAGTAAAAAGAAATGTATGCAGGAGATGTACTATAAATAAACTAAACCACTGTATAGATTACATATAAAAGTAGGAATGGTCAAAGAGGAAAACTGGAAGAACAGAAATGGGAGCTTTAAGATTTAAGCAAGCAATTATTATTATTACTTGCAGGAAGATGGTTCCAAGCACAGGTGTGCATACTTTCTGCAACAACTTGTATGAAATCAGCCCCAAAACTGCAATGACATTCCATGTCTGAAAACGTGTATGACTGTCATCCTGCTAACTGTGTGTACTGCTGATGTCAAGATTATAAGGGCAGAAGTCAAGTCTGTGTTCTCTGTCCTCTGCCTCCGGGAGCTACTACAACACTAATACTTTGATCAGAAGTTGTTTTTTTTAAAAAAATTGATGCCTAATATTAGACTGCTGAACAAGGTGGGGCTGATTTTCGAGGGTACTGAGTGCTGTTGGTGCTCATGGACAGGCACTGGCATCTGTTAAAAATTAGCTCATACTTAGAAAGCAGCCCTGTCACAGTATCACCTCGCTTAAGGCAGTGGTTAATGAGAATGTCAATGAATGGAAGAAACAGCATACCCACACTGTCCCCCTCCCAAAATACCCTTAAAACATGATTTTCCAAACTGAACAGGCAGTCAGGCAGGGATTTACCCAGATTTTCAAGGAACTTTCAAGATACACAGTTGCTATTTGTGCCTTTGAAAACCTCCCCAAGGTCACTTAGTAACAGAAGCTGATGGCGGATGATTACATTAAAGAGAAAGGACTGGGCAGAGGCAAGATTAGGAAGGCTTTTAAATAGTCTACTTCTTACACACGAACCTCTAAGCAAATTATATCTCAGTATAAATATTTATACATAGAACTTGAGTTCATTTTTGCTCATCTACTATGAGATTATATTTTAAATAGATTCCATTTTAATTTTCTCCCTCTCCATTTTCAACCACCTGCTTACTATCTTTCTGTTTTGACATTTCCCCACACAGTATAACAACAGACGCTACATTATTTACTGAACCCAATCAATTATATTATAGAAAAATAAACAGTAGCTCATTAGAGCTCTTTTCTTTGTGCAAAGAGTGCGTCGCTCCCCAAAGTAACTAGCCTCCAAGGCTTCAACATAAAATGGCAATTTACAATGGATATTCTGTACCAGCAAAGCAAGTCAGAAAACAATGATGTGATGGATCACATTAAAAACTCTTGGACCTGAACAAGCAATTTGTTTGTTGATAAAAAGATGTTCAGTATGTGAATAGCTCAACAGTCAGATTTTAAATATACGAACTGAACATAAAGCCACTTCTGTAAGTAAACACTGTTGCAGAACAATTCAGTATAAGTCATCTGTATACTTGAAAATGGGGAGTGTTAGTAAATATTATTGTTAAAATCCCTTTTGTTCTACTAAGCAAACAGATCCTATTATTTCCATTACTGCAGTCTACATTAAAACAGGGAAGCCCAGGTATATTTTGATAACATGGACTGGTCTCGCAGCCTTTGCCTAAGAAAACTATTTCCAAAAGGCCAAGGTATCAGAAAAGGTTCAGGAGCAGATATAATAAAGCAGAAGTAATTATTGTTTCTATGCATGCAAAATTACTTCAAAAACCAAAACCATACTTCTTTGTTGAATCCGAGTGTGAGCTGATTGCTCAACAGTCTGTTACTGCTACAGTACTGATTTATGCTCGATTGCTATTAACCTCACAGGATCGCTGTCTTACAATTATTCTTGACACAATTCTCACAGTCCAGTTTTGTGCATTGCTCCTTCAGTTGTGTTTTAGCTTCCATTCTTGGCTTATGCTAACAACAGGAGCTAAATAAGTCATCAGATACTGTAGGATAAGAAAGAAGTGGTGGACTGCATTTTTCCCGAACCATTGAACATTACTGTTTGGACTGAATTTAGTATTTACAAGGCAGTACTGCTAAAAAGGTTCTTGAATGCTTAAACGGTTCAGGTTTTTTAATGCAATTATCTTGGTCAAAATATATATATGCAAATGCATTGCTCATACAGTTTATTTATTGCGTTTACCTCGGGGAATAATAAATGTGTTCATAGCCAACTTTTTTGCAGTTGTATAATGCAATTTTTTCATACATCAGCAAAGTACACAAGACTGAAATGTTAAGTATACATTTGAGTCATGTGTAGGCAGGGAATAAGCAAGGCTGTGATTTGTCAGGATTCCATGAGTTCCAAGGACTTCAACTAAGAGGAGAATTAAATGAGAATATAATTCCAAATTTCAAATCTCCACAATCCATGAGCGTTAAAGCAAAGAAGTTATATTAAGTCCACCAAAAATACTGGAACTCTGATATTTTATATAAACCAATAAATATTTTTAATAGTTATATTTTATTTATATTTGATATAATACTGGAAACATACTCAGAAAATATATATTCAAGAGGGATGCTGGTATAGCTTTGTATTCATTAGCAACTTGCTCACAGAATCTGGTACGCCTAGAAGTCAAAGGACAATCCCCAATCAACTGTGATTTCAGTCAAGACAATTATATGTGAATATTTTTATTCAAGGGTTTCAAAGTCCTTTTCAAGTATCAGATGTGTTTCATAGCAGTTCTGTAAGGGCTTAGATTTCAAGAACTTCACAGAACAGATGGAAATATTTTAATGACTAGTCTATTTTACCTATCCTTTGAAATGCAGTGGGACTTCAGGGTAAGAAACATGGCTGTACCCCAGCATTTTTACCACATTTGCTATTTGCTAGGAGGTGAAAAAGAGGAAGTCACCTTTATAAGTAAATTTGTGTACATGATGCTTTATGTAAATACCTACATAGACACACAGCGAGCAAGCCTAGATCCTGAAAGAGGCTGCAGGAACCATCTCTGACAGGCACTGGGACCCTCAGAATCTACAAAATTTAGAGCATCTACAAAATAACAGAGTTTGAGGAATGGCACTCTTCACAGCACGTGGTTTCTTATATAGGCCTAGAGATGAAAGTGTTCATTTAATCACAATTTTCATTCTAAGGAAGATTCTGTAGAAGAATATTTAGAAATTAAAAAACGTACCATAAATCCAATTTTCTAAATTTTGGATTTATTTTCTTCTTAAATTTTTTTTTAAAAAGTGTTTTGTTTCCCAAATTAAATTTGGCAACTTGATTGATCAGAATTGCAGCTAGGCTTTATGCTACTTCCTGGAAGAAATGAAAGGGCTCCATAGTATTATATTTTTAAAAGGAGGTCCTGCAGAAACAAGGTTAGAGGTTCCCAAAGATTCCACCATTTCATGGATCTCCTCTTATCAGGCCTATTTAATATCTGGCTGTAATTCAGACCCAAATGATGTAATTGTGACCCAGATGATAGAACAGAAAAGCTATTAAACAGTGGATGAAAATGATTTAGCTGCACTATGTTTTTTATATATACATACAGTAAGAAATTAATTTAAAAAAAAAATTCATGTTCACATAAAAAGTATACTTTGAATTAAAGTTGCAATGTACGTTGAATGAAAGTCGCAAGGTCCATAAAGCTTCAGGAATCCAAAAAGTTGTCAGAAAAGGTAAAACATCCCACCTCACGTTCTTCCTCCTGTTCTTTCCGAATTTGTTCCAAGCGAAACTGTTCTGCCATTTCTCTCTCTTGTGCTTCCCTCTAATAAACACAAACAGCAATCACACATGTATCGCCTTGCTTTCCACAGCTGTGTTTAATGATGTGCACTAGCTATATAAAAGCAAAGAAACTTCTCAACTTTTCTGTAAAAATTAATATAATAGGATATTTATTAAGTGATCCTTTCCTGTCATTCCTTTCCCAACTTCTATTATTGAGGCCAGGACTGTTTTAGCAAAAAGATGTAGTCAAGTTTACTCCCAGTGGCTGTATTTTGTAACCACGGTGGGCAATAACGGCTCTTACAGCAACCGTCTCATCTTAAGAGCAGAACTGAAGTTGGGCAGTCCTCTGCACCAGAGAGCTCTCACCAGCTGTGGAGCGATTCCCATCCTGACATTCATGCCATCGCTTTACCCTGCACACACCTTTGCTCTGTCAGCCTCCAGTGATATGCGGTACGCTTCATCCTGCTCTCTTTTCACATTTTCTCTGGCTTCACGTTCATCCTAAAGAGAAAAAGAAAAACCAACCAAAAAATATCAGCAAAAAGTGATCAATATGATATATATCTTTATGTTCACCAGCACTCTTTAACCCCAGCAACTCCAAAATATTTCACTGCCTTACTTATCTAACTACTGCCAGAAGAAATGAGTTCAGAAATGCCTCAAGGGCGACCCTGGCTTTAAAAATTACGACTTACCTAAAGCTGTGTTTCAATTGCCATGTAATGGGTTGGCATGTCCAAGCCCTGGCCTGAGGGCTGGATCTGGCACCAAGGCTCTTTCCCCTGCCACCTTTATCAGGGCCGTGGCCAGCGCAGACCCCGGGAACGGTGCAGCCTCCTCCTGTGCCAGCCACATGGGGAGGAGGTCACCGGAGGGGTACATGTGGGCTGGTGCTGGGGAGGATTTCACTCCCGCAGCTGACAATTTGGATGGTCTTGTAATAGGGAAGGACAGACCGTGGTTTAGAGGACGAGGATGGATTTAATTTGCTCTCCGCTCAGACTGACAGCGGGTAATGGCTCGTCCTGCAAAAGAAGGCCTGCTCCCAGGTCATTCCTTGGTAAAAAAGCCCTCAGCAGGATCCATGCAGGGTCATGACTATTAAACATCATCCAGAGGCCTCGATTCACAGTGCTGAATATTCTACAAAGATGGGAAAATAGCAAGCCCTGCTCTGAAGCATCTCAAATGGACAGATGCAGGCAGACAAGAAACATGAGGTTAGCACGCCAACTTCAAGCCAGCAAACCTAGCAAAGTATCTCATTAATGATCACAGCACAGAGAAATAAAGGTTTACTAAAAATAACTGAATTACAAAGCGAGGCATCGTCCACACAGTGGAAGATCAAGAAGAGGATATCCCCGAAAGCTGGAATAACTGCACTGGGGTGATGTCTGGTAAAGCAAAGTGCACAATCAATAGCTTCATACTCTGCCTCTGGAGCCAGAGACAGCGGCTGCTCCCCTGTGCTTACTCCTCTTACATCTTATAATCCTCCCAGAGCCCTGCAGAGGCTGCACTGGTCCCTACAAAAATCAATGAGACTGCTGGTGGGCTCAGCACGCTCACCTGTAACACAGCACTTGCACTGGGGTAATCTGTCCCCTGTATTTCATAGAAATTAAAATCTACTACCTACTGCTTCTTGAAGAATTATGTTAATTTTCCCATTCATCTGCAAGGCTTATTCCACATAAAGGAATCATTTTGCAAAGTGATCGATTTTCTCCCCAAAACTTCACTATTTGGCAAAAACTCTATTCTAAATGGTAGGAGCATATGTTAAATGTTATTATCATGTCATGCAAACATGCCAAGATGTTACTCAAACAAAACTCTAACATATTAGTGGTTAAAAAGCTCTAAAGTAGCATGCAACCACAAGAGGAAAGGACAAATTGCAGGAAAAGGTATACAACCTCCAGTTGGAAAGTAACAAGATCTTTTTAGAGGAAACTCTTCTTCCTTATAGAAACAGGACCCAAGATTATTCTACAATCAGTGTGTCCTAAATTTCATTCACAGAAGATAGAGAAACCATCACTTTGTTCAGCAGAGCTAAGACATGAGTAGAAGTAATTCTTGCGAAAGGTGAAAAGGACAATAACCACTGAATAACCCATTCCCCTTCCTGGCTTCTCTAGACCTTGGTAAGCTTTATGTGCTATGCTCATGGAATACATTCAAAAATTAAGTCAAACTTGAAACCAGAAACTACCCTACATTAATATTCCATTTCTGAGAAGAAAGGGTGTTGGAATAATCAAACAACTCCGATTTTTATGGTATCCAAAAATGAGGAAGGCATCCTGAACACACAGATGTTTTCCCAACTCTTCTCACAGATGGAATGTAACAGTAAAGGAAAAAGTTTTGTACTATCTATACTGAGATTCTTCCATAAGCATACCATAAATTTATCTAAGAACCAAAACTATCTTCGCAAATCATCTTACTAAAGGAAGATGACTTCAGGTAATCTGTGAGAGGACAGACAAGCATTTAAAAAAATATTAAGACTTATTTCAGAGAGAACCTATTTAAACTTTCATGTTTTCCAACTTCATATATTACACCTAACTTCACACACTAACTGAATTTCAAAGGTCACACAAGTCCAATAATGCCTGAAAGAAAACTGAATGCAACTGAATGCAAAATTGGACACAACTATTGCAAATACAGGCTCTTTCCTTCATCAAAGATTGCTAGCAATTAGCATAGTTTCTTTAGTTTACAAAAAACCCCCAAACAACCCACAAACCAAAAAACCCACAAAATACCCCAATCCAAACCAAAACCAACCTTCAAAAAGTAAAAATTCAAAATCTATAAAAATTGTTAAAATAACTCGCTCAAAAATAGATACTAATCAGAATTACAAGAAATTGAGTACTAGCTTTTATTTTACATTTTACAAACTGTCTAGAAAACTCCAGGAAGTTATTAGATGTTACTTGTGATGAGCACAGGATTCATTTACCTACAGAGAGCTTCACTGAAGAATTTTTGAAATAGGTTTAAATAATATAATCCTCATGATAACCGCAAAAAATACTGACGCTATAGATTCTACAAACTAGAATTGAAACATGAATTCCTGGCATTTAAAAAAAAAATAAATTCTTTCCTCCCTATTCATTGCAGTTATCATCATCCTAAAAGTGGATTATGAAAAAGATGTCAGGAATGTGAAGAATTACTACGCATGACTGCCTGGTCCTCATAGAAGTGCGTGAGCCACATCTAAAAGTAAATGACTGTGCCACTGAGCTTTACATCGTATTGAAACAATTCTGTTCTTACTGAAACAGATCTCAAAACCAAATCTGGAATCCAGATTTCTTTAGGCAAGAAGTAGATGTAAGCCTATGAAATAGCTCTTTGTACTTACTTCTGTGCTTTGTTAATACTGCTCACACTCGACAGGAACCACCTCCTCTACAGAGATTATGGCAAAATTGCAATATTCTCTGGGTCAGAGTTATACCTTGGACAAATTTTAAGCATTAGATAAAGTAGTTCTCCTTTTTGTAATGCAGTTTGTTATTTTAGTCATCTCTTCCTCTAGAGAAACCATACAAAGTATGAGGATGACTCAAGTTCATCAGAAAGCAACAAAAGAAAACTCATAATAGTGCAGGAAAAGGAGAAGAAAATATTTTGCAGAGAACCTTTCATTGCACTAACAAAGAACACACGAAGAAAAATAGAATAGTCATACCACTAATAATTAATTAAAAAAATGTCATAAGTGTTATCCATCAACAAAATCTGAGGTAGCTGACAGCTTTCCTGTTAAACCCTACAGAAATTGCAGCATTGACTGAACATCAATAAACGTATCTCCACAATACTTCTCCAATGAAGGCAAAATTGCCATCTTCCCTTTTCAAGAAACCAAGGTGTGAACAGATAATGGCTTATCCCTGGTCGCTTAAAAAGCCTTCATCAGGAACGGGGGTTACTCAGCATTTCTGAATTCCACAGCAGCGACTGAAGGCTGGTGTGAATGCAAACCATCGCCATCCCAGGGGTTTGGGGTGTAAGATGAGGAGTCAACTCTCCTTTGCTTCTTAAAGTGAAAAAATCACAGATTCCCATGTTGACAATGCAACAATAGCGGAGTCATTCATTCAATGAGAAGCTGATACTTCAAAAAAAAATTGCATTTATCCACAGAATATATTCTTCAGCTATGAATTTTCTTTGCTATCATGCATATTACAGATGCAAAGTCATAACAAAAATACTAAAGACTTACATTCATGAGATAGTTACAATGGACCGGATAAAACCTTCTCTTGAGTAATATCCAGCAGTACGAGACTAAGAAAAACTTACAGATAAGGTTAAGAAGAAATTTAGGATAAGCCTCTCCAATAACTATTCCCTAAACCATTTGTTGAAATTCCCCCTGAAGCACTCACAGCAGGCATTTTCAGATGCAGGATGATGGAAAAGAGGGATTCCTGACTGCATTTAGGGCAGCAATGCCCCCTTTTCCTGCAGATTCTACAGGGGAAAAAAATACAGAATACATTTGGCTTTTTGGATGGGATGTTTTGCTGGAAAAGTCAGCATTGGCCCTTCTGGGCTTTTTTTATTTATTGTTTTTGTTTCTGAAGGTAGGCTTTAATGATTTAACCCCAAGAATCAGCTTTGCATCTGATTTGTCTTGGGGCAATGTGTTATACTTTATTCCCCATTGCCTTTTGGGATCAGTTTTACTGTGAAGTAAAACCAGACGAGACAGAACTTGAGAAGATAACCATGCAGAGAAGACATTTCTCCGAGCATCAGCGAGTAAATGGCTGTTACAAGAAAGAAAGAAAGAAAAAAAAAGTGTATTTACAAATGCTGAATGCTTATCTGAAAGACAGTTCATTTCACTGAACCACTCCTGAAATTAAAATCTGCAAGAGCTTAAGGCTATTCATGGGAGCGTTAAAGAGAAACACCCCTTTGTCCAAACAAACCAGTGCAAGAAAGGCATTAATTTGACTCACTAAGATGACAGACTTGCACATTGTATAACTTATACATGATGGAGAATATATGGAAGGAAAAAGTGTGTACACAGAATGCGTTAGGCCTATGAGAATGATGAAGACAAAGCAAATGAATATTTCTGTGGTGGCAGAACCACAGGTGGGGAGGCAGGATGGGGCAGGGCGAGGGGGCAGAACAATGCAGAACCACCGGAGGATCCTGCCTGTCTATATCGAAGGCTGAATGCCCAATTCCCGATACTGATTTTTGGAAATTACCTCAAATGACAAGAAAAAAACCCAACCCAAAACCTTCAAGAAGCAGTCCTGCAGTGACTCTCCAAGGGAAATGAGCCAGCCCGTCCTGGTACAACATCTACCCACCTGGGTTGTAAAGCAGGGAAAGCTGCTGTTTATTAAGAGAAACTAAGCGAATATTCAGTGACTGAAGCCGTCAACATGTATAGCTGAAAAACCACATGAACTAAAGATATTTTCATTTTA